GTGTTCGTCGAGAGCGAGGAAGCATATCGTCTATCTTGTTCATCTGGCATCGACATCGTCAGCGTTGCGACTCCCCGACCGCAGAGTCAGCCGCTCACCCTGCCCTTTGCGCGCAAGTTTCACGTCTTCTAACACAGCACACATCCCCTCTTGTCTAACCCCAGAACTTCTTGCCCATCATGTCTGTGTCAGCTGCTGAAGTGGCTGCCGACTTTCGGGATGCCCTGCAAGATTTGAGGATGAACAGCAGACCTGAGATTAGCAATCTAACCCTCATCGCCAAAGAAAACACAGAGTATGCGGAAGCCATATCCAACGAGCTCCAGAAGCATATCCAATCGGTACGTCCTGGACGCATGTAGACTAACAACTCTATCTTTCAGTTCAAACTTACTTTATCCACTGGTGACTGACATGGCATAGACTCGCCCCGAATGGAAGCTTCCAGCCCTCTACGTCCTTGACTCGATTGTTAAGAATGTTGGCACGCCATACACCGTCTACATTGGTCGCAACCTTTACAGAACTTTCATGGACGCCTATCTCGTGATGGATCAAAACACACGCAAGAATATGGAAGGCTTGCTGAGGACGTGGAAGATGCCTGTGCCCGAGTCGATGGACCCTCGCCCTGTGTTTCAAGCCGACGTGACACAGGACATCGAGAATGCACTGGCTAAATTCCGCGCAGCTCAGCAACAAATTCGGCCGCAACACGCGCTCCCTCCTCGTCCTCCGTCACTCAATGTCGCCTGGAGAGGTACATCCACACCGCCGCAAACTGGACCACGGTACGCCGCTCCCAATGATCCGCGTGCTCGACCGGTAGGTTTTCCATATAAGTTTCAGATATTTTCGCTAACAAACCTTCCAGTCACAACCCCCGACACCTCAATATCCACCATCACACGCATCTACACCACCTGTATACCAGCAGCATCAGCCGCATGCTCAGCCCATGTCATCGGTGGATCTTGCCGACTTGAAGGTGGAATTGACACAGCTTATTAGCACAACACAGAACATGTTCGCGCACAACCCAGCTGACGCTGCTTTGCGTACAAAACTGTCGGCACTCCTGTCCCTCAAGCAGATCCTGGACACACAGACGTTACCTCCTCAACAACTAGAGGCTGTACGTCAGCAGGTCCGAGCATTAGCACCTCCACCAGCGCCAACACCGACCTTTGCTCCTTCTACGCCAGTGTACCCACCACAACAGGCAGTGCCCCAAGGCTATCCGCCCAACTTTTCTCCGATGGGTGCACCCCCGAGCAGCGCTCCGCCGAATGTCGCGCAACTTCTGGCAGGCTTCCGACCACCACCACAGTCGACTCCGCAACCCGCACCAACCCCGAATCCACCTGCCTTGAACTTGGCAGAGCTACTCAAACGTGTATCTTCTCCAGCACAGCCGAACTCAGTACCTGCTCCAGCCCCGTTTCAGATGCCATTCCAAGGCTTCCCACCCCCAGTCTCGACTCCAGTACAGGAACCTCAGGTTCCTCCGCCGACCCAGTCCGCGACACCCACTGCCAATCTTGCTGCTTTGCTTGCGCAGTTTAGCAAACCTGGTGCCGTGCCGCCCTCAATGCCACACACGCCTGTACAGAGCACTCCCGTTCCTCAGTTACCACCACAACCTGTTGCTGCGGCTCCAGCCCTTGGATCCGCCGAATGGCTTTTAAAAGCTCTGGGTGGTGTACCTGGTGGTATACCTGCAAACTCAACGCCGATTCAATCCCAGTCGACCACACAACAACCACTTGCGCCGGGTAGCTTGATGGAACAGATCGAGCTCACCACGGCATCAATGAAGAAGCCTCGTCTTCACCTCATCTCCCGCCTTTACGAAGCCAAGCCCAACATCTGCGCCACATGTGGCCGTCGCTTTGAGAGTACACCCGAAGGAAAAGAGAAGAAAGCACGCCACATGGACTGGCATTTCAAAGTCAAGGACCCAGATGCCGCGAAGCGAGGTGTACACCGCAGCTGGTACATTCCCGAAAAGGAGTGGATCGAGTACCGCGAAGTCGACGAGACGGCCCCTAACCAGTCCAACGACGGCTCCTCTGGTACAGGTGGTGTTAAACCGAAGAAACAGGCCAAGGATCGCTACGTGAGCGTACCACAAGACGTCACACTACAGCAGGCACCGTGCCCCATCTGCCAGGACAAGTTCGAGACGCAGTGGAATGTGGAGGCCAACGACTTTGTATGGATGGATGCTGTAAGCGTGGGTGGCAAGGTATACCATGCTACTTGTTTTGAGGAGGTTTACGGCAAGGGTGTTGGCATTGAGGCGCCAGGCACGCCCGACTCAGTACTTGGAAAGAGGAAGGCGGATCTTGGTGCCAACGGTGACGGAAAGAAGGTTAGGGCTTATTAGACATCAGTTTCTCCTTTGAGTCGTGGACGTTTGGCCATTTTACAGAGAAGGCAACGATGGTGGGCTTTTGCAGCATAGCGTGGCGTTTTGACTCAGCCACTATAATATTTGGGCTTCTACGTAATCTCCATGGATGGTAATCAATGGTAGCAATCACATATTTCAATGCATGGATGTCTCCTACTCCGACCCGTATATTTCATCATCTATGTACAAGTCCACGTCCCAACTTTCTACACCCACTCCTTCGGACTCTTGAGGACTTCGATTAACCGTTCCTCCCTGCTACCCTTTGCAGGTTCATGCATATACTGCCACCTTGCCGTAAGAGGCAAACTCATGAGAATACTCTCAACTCGCGCACCAGGTGTGTTCAGACCAAAAGCCGTTCCACGGTCGTGCACAAGGTTGAACTCGACATAGCGTCCTCTACGGATCTGCTGCCACTGTTTCATTTCGTCTGTGTAAGGCATGTCCTTTCGCCTGTTGATGATGGGCAAGTACGAAGGCAGGAAAGCAGACAAGCAGTCTTGTATGAAGGAGAATAGTTGTTCCTGATCCTTCTCCGTCTCGTCGAGGTCGTCAAAGAAGATGCCGCCTACACCTCGTGTTTCACCCCGGTGCTTGTTGCTGAAGTACTCGTCGCACCATTTCTTGAAGCGCGGGTAGTATGCCTTGTCGTGCTTATCGCAGGCTTGCTTGATAGCGCCGTGGAAGTGTATCGCGTCTTCATCGTAGAGGTAAGAGGGTGTGAGATCGCAGCCACCGCCGTACCACCATGCATTTGTGTTGCCCAGCTCGTCGGCGGTCTCGAAGTAACGATAGTTGAGGTGCACGGTCGGTGCGTTGGGGTTGTGGGGGTGAAGGACCATGGATAGGCCTGCGGCGAAGAACTCGAGCGAATCGACGTTGGGGTCGAGCGCTTTGTGGTTGGCGCGCATCTTCTGTATGGCGGCTTTAGGCAAGCGCCCGTATACGACTGAGGTGTTCACGCCTCCCTTCTCAAACACGTTGCCGTCTTGCAGGATACAAGTGATGCCACCACCGCCTTCTGGTCGCTGCCATGTGTCGATCTTGAACTTGGTGCCGTCGACCTTTTCCAGCTCAGCCACGATTTCCTTCTGGTTCTGCTTTATGAACTGCTCCATTCGGAGGCGCATGGGTGATTGCTCCGAGACGCCATTCTCACGCTTGAGCAGGGCATCCTTCTCGGCGATGGAGGGTGCTTCGGTCTTGATCGTATCGTCCGTCCACTGTGACATGGTCAATAAGGTTCAAAGAAATATTCAGGGTCTCTGTGTACCATGGAGTAGACCAAGGCCCCAATGAAGGGTACAAATAGCAACCGTATCCTGTTCGGCCATTTGCTCGGTGGAGGATTACGCCATTCTTCCAAAGGATCCGGCTTCTCCGGTTTCTTGCCTGAGGGTAGGTCTAGGCGGCGTCTTGGTGAAGCGTGTAATTGTCTATTGCAGATGTGATTCGGGCGTAGTGTTCGTTGCGGCGCATGGCTGTGGGGAAGCTCGAGAGCTCTTGAGATGCGGAGTGAAGATCGGAATGGACGCATGGCGGGCGTGTGGAATCTTGAGAAGACGTTCACCGCGTGGAAATCATTGGAGGTGCGTGAGAGTCGCGAATTGATTTATATCAAGTCTGTGGGAGAAAGTCGGTGGTTTGGAAAGTTGTCGTGCATCACACCACGGTGGGCGCATCATCAGTGGAGCTCCTCGGTACTCCTACTAGCGGTATCGGTACCTGCATCATGCAAATACGGTAAACTTGCCATTACAGACAACGAAAGTGAGGACGCGCGAAAGCGCTTACTTTGAGTTGTACTGGTTCCGGCTTTTGACGGGCTGAGTGCTCAAAGACACATGTGCACCTATCTGTAGACGCGCAGCATGCGGTAGCGAGGGTTCGTTGGCGGTACTCGCTAGGTAGGGTGCGCACTGCTACCCAGTATCGTGACGGGCATCTCACGAAGCATGAGAAGTACTTGTTCGCGCTGTCATAGAAGGCGTCTGAAGAGATAGCTACGTTGCTATGGGCGGTAGGGTGGTCGGACGCGCTACATGCCTGCCAACGCGCGTGTCCAACGCGTCGACTTCGAACGATGGAATGATGCAGCCTACGTCAAGTTCAAGATAGCGTCACGGCGCATGCCTACAGTGGCGGTGCTCAAGTCGATGGATGACTCAACCTTGAATGCGTCCGGGAGACCCAGGTCATGGGAGCTTAGCAAGTGACTTGGTGGGCGAAGCGGTCAGCACAGCCATAGACGAGGACCAGGTCGCTCTTCACGGGTGAAAAGGGCTGCATTCGCATGACGAAAGAGGGCTGATTGCACTGTCTCTGATACCCAGAGAGCACTTGGCTGGCGCGTGAAGCGTTGGTCGTCTGTTGCATAGGGCATGTGCATGGATGGTGACTGACTTGGGCGTTGGTTAGGTAAGGCTGGAAGTGATTCGCCCCGCTCTGCTGCCTGCCCTTAAACTCCCACACCGCCCGCACCCTCAGCGTCCTACATCTCCACCCGCACCACTGACAAAACTCCCGCCTGCTCACTCCACACACTCACATACACTTCCCATCACTCTTACACATATCCAAGATGCGTTCCAAGTTCAAGGACGAGCACCCGTTCGAGAAGCGCAAGGCCGAGGCGGAGCGCATTCGCCAGAAGTACAACGACCGCATTCCCGTACGTTTGCCTCCTGCCTGTTCATCTCCCTCACTGCGACCGCAGCTAACAAGGCGCAGGTCATCTGCGAGAAGGTCGAGAAGTCGGACATCGCGACCATCGACAAGAAGAAGTACCTGGTACCCGCCGACCTGACCGTCGGACAGTTCGTCTACGTGATCCGTAAGCGCATCAAGCTGTCACCTGAGAAGGCCATCTTCATCTTCGTTGATGAGGTTCTGCCGCCTACCGCCGCTCTCATGAGCTCGATATACGAGGAGCACAAGGATGAGGATGGCTTCCTGTACATTACGTACGTAATCCCTTCGCCGCGCAACGCGATGCAGCTGCTAACAACCTTATAGGTACTCCGGCGAGAACACATTCGGCGAGGCCATCTAGGGAGCTCACTCTATCCCACATCCCCTTATCTATCGGTTATCAAGGCCGCGGCGAACTCACGGGCGTTATCGGATCACGGGTTTCTTCATTATTTCATGGCAACACTACACGGGCTGGGTGATGGATCGGTATTCTTGATCAGCGATTTGGTGCGACGGCAGACTCCTCGGCACTCAGCACTAGGCAAACATCATCTGAGGATGAGGCGGATCAAGCACAAGACAGCAAGAATGCAGTCCGCTGGAGACGGAGCTCCACGGACATGACGAGTGGCGGTCGGACAGAATGGCTTTCTCTTTTGCGCTGTACCTGTAGCTTGATCATCACATTTCAGCCCAAATGCACCAGACTTAATCCAAGACGACTGTCCTCACATGACCCCATCTGTGACGTCTCGCATGTATCCCGTGAAGCGCTATCTGTACCTGACAAGGCAGCGTGACTTGCGGCTCCTCCGGGCTGAAACCCATGACGCCATCACCCGCCTCACCAGACGCCTAACCGCCTCAATACAACCAGCTGCATGCAGACTGGATGCACAACATGGATAATCAGAGCGACTTGAACTGTTCTAGCACCTTCTGAAACAATGACATGCTTTCCAAGCGGCTTTTGACGCGTGCTTGCCCAAGTAGTCCGCATGGCGCGACCGCGAGCGTGGGGAAGCTCCAGCTGGCGGCAGGCACGGACCACAGCAAATGCAGGTGCAGTGGATCTTTGATGGACGCGATCTGAGAGAAGTTGATCGAGGCACCGACGTGAATTTTTGCCCTTATCGACTTGCACCTGCAGAATCATCGTAGTTGCATGAACACCCCACCACTCATTCGCAATCGAATCACTTCCGGAAGGCCATCCTGACCCCGCAGTCATGGCGGCCCAATACATCATATCAAAGTGCGCCTTCCCCTCTCGTCGACCTTGGACTTAGAGACTAACAAGTCGCGCAGAAGTCTCGACCCTCTTTTCGCCATATCCATCGGTCTCGCTGCTGCCTTCACACGGATAAATCGCGAGGAGAAAGAGAAGGGCCGGACCTCACAGGAGAGCATAGACGTGTTGAAGAGGAGATGGAACCTGGCATGGCAGGGGAACGAAGTGGAGAAGAAGGCTTGAGTGCAAGGACAAGAGGGAATAGAAAGATGTGGGACGAGAAGGTCATAGGGAGATGCAAACGCAAGACATACGAGGTTGCATGCGGTGCACTTCCACCAAGGACGAATACTACGATACCCCGCTACGCAATGGATAAGAGGAGGAGAATTGGTTCAATAAGAGCTGTCTCACTACACAGAGGGTAGGCACCTCCTCGCTAAGCCATCTATAAGACATGCCCGATAGCCGTCATCGTCTGTCTGGTCGTACCCAGCTTGTCAACAGGCGTAAAGATCAAGTGACAGCTCATCCCAGAGGCTGCGGGAGATAGGACGTACGGCGCAACATACAAAGAGTAACCATCTCGTTCTCTGCGCAACACTAATGAAACTCGCTCTGACGATGCGAAAGCTGTAAGAAATGTCACAGGCTTCATGGAAATATGCTTAAAGTCCTCTCGAATATGCTTTTTCTGATGTACAATTGCCAAAAGTCGAGTTAATCTTTTCACTTCCAGCTAGGCGTGTTCCAGATACCCACATCTGTTTGAATCTTCCTTCCGACACGAATATCACCACCACAGCCAAATCTCCTAGAAGATCAGCTTCCATGCCGCCTCGGCCGTGAGTCCCAGAAGCGCAACCGAACTCGCAGCAAAGACCGGAAAGCGCAGGGAAACGTTATTCGTCGAAACATGAATAATGCTGTGTACAAATCTCAGCCCGACATAAGCCCACGCCAAACCAACGGTCCTCTTGTCCTTTACATCCAAAAGGCTCAGTCCCAGCAACACGGCGTAGAACTGAGTGGGTTGTTCGAGCAAGTTGTTGAAGTTGTCCGCAGGCCACTTGACGAATGCCGGTAGCTTTTCGTCTTTTTGCTTCTTGACGGTTGCCGGGTCGAAGCTGATGTCGTATTGGGAGAGGGCTGGGATTCTTCGTTTGTAGAGAAGAGCTTCCATGGCAAAGGTCCAGATGTTGAGCCCGACGAGTGGGCCGAGGAGGGGTTTGTTGGCGAGAAGGGCGGACATGGTGCCGTAGATATGGTGGTGGTTTGAGCTGTGAAGACGGGTGCAATTGCTGGGGTTTGGATGGAGATTGTAGAGGAATGAAGACAGAATTGGGTGAATTAGCTAAGCTTTGAGAAGAAGCTTGTACCTGAATGCTACGTATTTAAGCATTTATTTCCTCTCTGTACAGCTCAACTATCAAGGTGATCGGTCGAACTTCGGCCTGATTATAAACTCGATGGCTGACAAATTTCACCATTGATATACGAAACGACTCCACTGAAAATTGTATCTGATGTCCACTTTCTTGTTACTTTAGGCTATTCAAATCTGGTATGATTGGAGATTGATGGTCATAAACCGTAGACGGCTCGCTTGCCTATCTAGCGGTTTGACCTGATCCTGTTCAGGCACCGCGTCTGTGCAAACCTCTATTCTCTCTCCACCACAAGTCCGCCCTCATCTTGCACTTCCAATCGTTCCCGAAGAACTGACCAATGGTTAGGTTACATGCTTTCTCCGTCGCAACAAAGACATCCTTATCAGTGCCTGGACGACGCTCATGGACGCTGCACTCCACGAAGCTGATTCTGATGAGAAGTGCCGCCTGTACTTCGACGTTCTAAAGATGGCCCATCTGGGCAGTATCGCATGGGACCTGATATGAGTGAGAAAGACTCCGCCATGAGAGTGGCGGGCAGGCCAAAAAGTATCTTGGATAATCAGTTGTACGATAAGAACCAGTTCCGACAGTCAGTTCGCTAAGGCACCGGGAGTGGGTGACTCTATTGGCGACACACTTGGGCGGATACAGCTCTTCTCTCGGTTTTTGTCTACGCGGCCACTGGAAGAGCTGTAGGCATCATTACCTTTTGCTTGACCGCATCAAGTCTAAGCGGACTCAAAGACGGTTCCTGGACGCTTACTTCATTAATCCTCCGAAGCTACGAAAGAACGCAACAGCGACGAATGGGACTCGTTGCCGCAAAGACATCCCCCTCAGCCCAACGCTGGTTGGTCGGGGTCCAGGGTGAGTGAAAGCATGTTAACGTGTGCCAGACAGTCGGTGTACTGACATGAAATCCACGCATTCTAGCTCACTTTTGGAAGGCTCCTAAGTTCGTACTGTGGTATCCCGATTCCCCGAGTGGGGGTTCGGGATCGTCCTGATTGGCCCGATGGTCCTGCCTAGCGGGTTTTGACGAATAGGAAGTCATGGCGGAAGTGGCGATATCTCCAACCTCCAGGAGAGTATCACCGCGCCGCGGTAAGGGATTCCTGCCACATGGGAATGGCTGGTTGTACATGACGCTACGAGTCATGGTAAATTCTAGGATCGTGAGCACCTGACCTTACGACGTTACACCGCGGCACCGGGAACATGACGATCATCATTCCTAAGGCTTCACCGACACTCAGATACGAAAACGTCAAAGAAGTCTTACATCCGCCGGTTAAGATATCCTTCTAGGTGCCGAACTCTGTCCGTGTGGAACTATATATGCTTGTAACAGTACGACTGGCAGTCAACTCCAACTGAGACGAACATCGCGACTGCGTACCTCAAGATGGATACCTTGGCCAACAACACGCATCCGAAATGGTGGAAAGATCCGGGCATGAAGAAACTCAACTTCTTGCTCCTTTCAAGCTACATAGGCGCCATAACGAATGGCTACATCAGCTCCCTCATCTCCAACCTCATTGCCAACCCCAGATACTTCCAAGACATACAAGGGCTTTCCCATCCGAAGCTGCTCGGACTAGTCACCGCTGCCCAGTCCATGGGATGCATCGCCGCTTTCTTTCCAGCACCATGGCTGTCAGACAAGTACGGTCGCCGCGTAGGAATCATCTTTGGAAACATCGGGATGATAGCCGGCTTTACAGGGCAGATCTTCTGTACGAGATTCGATCAATTTCTCGGCATGCGTATACTCGTCGGCTTTTCTAGTATTTCAAACACGATTTCCTCCTCCGCTCTACTCGTCGAGCTTGCACATCCACGCCAGAGGGCCGTTGCAGGTGCGCTCTTCAACACATGCTACTTCATCGGCTCCATCACCGCGGCTTGGGCCTCTTACGGAGCTTTGAGAATACCGGGTTCGTGGTCATGGAAACTACCGGTAGCCATCCAGCTGTTTTGGTCCCTGGCGCAGCTGAGCTTGATCATGTTCTGTCCCGAGTCGCCTAGGTGGCTTGTACGACACGGACAACAAGAGAAGGCCAAGTCTATCATGATACGATACCATGCCAATGGGCTCGCTGGTGATGAGCTAGTATCTTCCGAGTTCGCGCGCATGTGCGCATCGACGGTGGCTGAGGCTCAGAATAACACTACTGGCTGGCTGGCCTTGCTTGCTACACCGGGCAACCGCAAACGCCTCGTCCTATCTGTGGTCATCGCCGTAGCTACGCAATGGGTCGGAAACGGAATCATCAGCTTCTACTTGGCGCCGGTCCTGCGAACGGTCGGAATCACGAACTCCCTCCACCAACAAGGCATCAACGGCGGGCTTCAAGTCTACGTCTGGCTCTTGGCCTGTGCAGCCGCACTGTTATGCGAAAAGGCCGGTCGACGCCGCCTCTTCCTCACATCCACGAGTCTAATGTTGGTCTTCATGGTCCTGATAACCATCTGCTCGGCCCTCTACTCGACCACCGGCTCCGCATCTGCAGGCTACGCCGTCATTGTATTCCTCTTTCTCTTCTTCGGTGGCTACGTCATTGGCCTGACACCCATACCCATCCTCTACGTCAACGAGATCTGGCCGAGTCATCTCCGCACGAAAGGCACAAGCGTATTTTGGGTATCGCAAGCCGTGTCTATCACCTTCAACCAATTCGTGAACCCCGTGGCGATTGACAAGATTGCTTGGAAATACTACTTGGTCTATATTGGTGTCTTGGTCGCGGTTATCAACTTCATCTTCTTTTATGTGCCGGAGACTAAGGGACTGTCGCTGGAGCAGATTAGTAGTATCTTCGATCCTGTGCAGGATGTTACTGTTGAGCTGTCGGTTTCGGATGTTAGGAGGGAAAATGAGGCGTAGGGGATACATGGTGCGAATTTGGGTCTTTCCGGTCCATTTCAGCTCAACGAGGCAACGACAAGAGAGGTGGATGAACGTAGTCAAATCAATAAAAATACAGTTACAGATTACGCGAGCTTATCCAAAAAGCCTAGGAGTGGGTCTTCGACAAATCATCAAGCTGACTACAGGCAGTCCAAATGCGCTGGTCCAGAGGTCCGGGGATCTTTGTCATTTTGTAAGCCTGACGGAGGGTATCCCAAGAGCTTTGATCAGTAGATTCGGAAGTTTTTGACCGTTTCTTCGGTTTCTGCTCCTGACTTTGCTCATCTGATGCCTCCTTCTTGCCCTTACTTTCATCTGTCTCCTTGGTATTTTTCTCCTCGACTTTCTCATCTTCTATCTCATCACTCTTTCTCTTCTCACCCTGATTCCCTTCCTTCTTCCCCTTCCTCCATACGACCCCGACAACGCCAATTCTCTCAGGTGGCTCATACAGCTCAGCAACTGGCCCTGGTCTGTTGGGCAATCTTTCGTATATCAGAGTCGAGGCCTCAAAATCGGTGTCACCTTGGGTCTCCGGATTATGAGTGAGCGGGTGTATGTAGTTTCCTGGAAAAGGGAAGAGATGGTGATCGTCATTGATGAAGTAGTGTTTTATTGGTAGTGGACTGTCCTTCTTCTGTCTGCCTTTTTGAGGACAGGTTGTCACACATGCAGTGCAATGACCCGCTCGTGTGAGGTTACCGGAGTGAATGATCTTGCCGATGAGCTTGTACCGGAGCTGTGAAGACGGAGGACTAACGTGCGCAGTGAGATCGAGCTCGTTGGGGATGATGATGGGATGCGTATTCTTGACCGGCAGACTTTGGTCATCCTTGTCGAATACTTGGTCTCCATTTTTGTCAAAAGTGTTCAGTTCCAGGTTAATCCGAAGATACTCGGGTGCGGCTTCGATTGTTTTGAACTTCTTGACATCTCCCGTATGATTGCACGCTCCGCATGTTACCGGCATATCTTCAACGTCCAGCCATGTCGAGTTTACTAGGGCAGTTTGCAGATCAGGATGATTATTGCCATTCTTTGCGATCATAACGTTTGAGAATCCAAGGTCTTTGGTGATGTTGTAGTCGTCGATGGAGTGGAGGTGTGTACAACTGCCATGTGTACACCGCATTTCTTCATGCCGAGTCAGAGTGAAGAGATAGTTGAACTCGTCCAGTCGTTGGTGATTACTGTTGAAGGTCTCAGTAATCTGCACACGAGTGGATATAAGAGAGTACTTACCCGGGATCAATACTGTCTTTACACGCATTTAGCAACCTCATCAAGAACTCATCAGAATCTTGCTGGCCAGCAGCATTTCTCCTGCGCCCATTGCGGTCACTGGCGCTTTCGTTGTAGAGCCTTCGATTCATAAAAGCGTGATCTGATTCTCCCTGCGCTTTAGTGAGTCCAGAGGAGCTGGGGGGCTCAGTGGACCAGCGTCTAGCCATGGCGTTCAACGCTGTGACGCTAGGGCGTGTGTGGGGGAAATTCATGGAAGGATTGTTTGCATTTTCCCGAGCATTCGACCAGTAGTCCAAGACAAAAGCCTTCACCAAGCAAGCTACGCATTGCTTAATGCTTTCGCCCATCTTAAGGAGCACTTGGTCCTTTGCTTGATTCACCGGTAGATGGCGATTCGGATCGTTTGCGCGACAAGGCCAATCCGCGCCCCGCGCTGCATCGTTATGTTGCTTTATCCAATCGCAGAACTTTGGAAGGTGGACGAGGTTTTGCAAAGCGCTATTCATGTAGCAAGAGTTTCCCGAATTGCCAATGCCGCGGGGCTGCTTGTCGGAACGGCCTTCTGGCCATCTTTTGCTGATTGCATTCGTAACCGCAGGTCTACGAGGGTTCCTTCCACGTGGTAAGCGAGACCGATGGCTTCGGGGAAGAAGTGTGGGTGGAAGATGTATAGGGGCAGTGGCTGCTTGGCGCCGCGTAACCGGAGGCATGTTGATCTGATGAAGTCGGTAACGGTAGACGATGTAGTAAATTAATGCGAGATAGCGATACTCTCATGAAGATGTTGTTTGGATGTGACGACTTCCCGCGCGTCGATAGTTCTTCCATCTCTTTTGAACTATGTTTGCACGGGCGACAATGAGTAACCTTTCTCTTTGTTCTATTGTCGAGCTGGCCATTGTGAACCTTGCCACCAAACGGGCTTATTGACCCTTGGACAGGATAGCTCAAAGAAAGTGAAGGTGAAAGGCAATACGGGATGGGTGAATGTGACTGGATTGGCTTCCTAGAGTTGTTAATCTTGGCTCACTCAACGTCGACTGCTGAATCGGAGATGACCTACATGTATTACGCGCATTGCAGTAGATAGCAATGCAGCAGAGTGACTACGTTGCTGTCTATAGATCATCTAAGATGATGTACCTTTAGACCTGCTTACCCTTACCTTTCCCCTCATATTGTTCCTCTTCGTCATCCTCCTCCATTCTCCTCTTCATTTCTTCCACCGCCGCTCTTCCCCCCTCCTCCCTCTTGGCAGTGCATTTATCCAGCAGTTCCTGCAGCTTCTTTGCCCTCTCTGCATCACTCAACCCCTTCTTCCACTTCTCGTTCATCTTTCCTGCCAGCAGAGTATCCTCAAGTTCAAACCTTATCAGGATGGTGCTTGCGGTGGGACTAGGTGTGCTATCTTTGCTCACGGCAACGACATCGTCGTCTTCGCCTTCGCCTTCGGAAGTGGTCACTCGCTTCTCTTTGGGTGGAGACTCTGAACTGGAAGATGAGCTTTCTTCCTCAAAATCGGACAGGACGTCTTGGTCTGGCTCGTCGGGGGAGTGTTCGCTTGAGTATCCTGCATTGGAAGCGTTTTTTTGAGGCGTGTTCTTTGGTGGCATGTTGTGAGGATGGCTCGGTAGTGGATCCGTCTTTTGTCGCCTGTAATGGGCGTATTATATGCAGCAACATGATTGCTAGACATTGCGAAATAGACGTCACACGCAAGTGACACTCCTCAAGCCTGACTTGCGCACAGCAAACTTGGAGAACAGATGGAAGGTAGCCGCCATGATGGGCTGTTCACCGGGTTGCGAAGAAGATAATGCGCCCTTCACTCGAGTTGGAGCCTGGTCTGGTGCGCGCCGGTCATCGAAGTTGCTTTTTGGTTAATTTTGTGAAGACGCGTGAATGGGATGTACTGTCATCGGATTGACTAGGGGCAGACCGTTCGCGCGAGACAGCGCACGTCGACTGCTGTAAATCTGCCAGGATCTTCTAGTGACGCCATGGCTCGAGATATGTCGATGTATCTGTGATGTACGACACGCAGGCGAAGCCGACGCGTCGCGACCCTGCTCAGGTGGTCACGTCATTAGCCGTCCTTCTATCCAACCATATCGGGTTAGCTCTAAACCAATCAGCACCATCACCTGGGCACGAGCAGCTACTCGAAGCACATCAAAAACTCATGCTTACAAGTCTCTTCGTGTCTAACGGTGTGCATATTCAACCCAGCCCTTATGTACCGTTAACTTGTGACCCAGATCACCAAGGCCCACCCATACTCTGCGGGTATCCGCCGCCCCTTCCACCATGTTCAAACCCACGGTGCGACGGCAAGACTGCGCTCTGCCCACCAGGAAAGTGACCACCACCATATTCTTGACCCTGAACATGAGCATGACCGTGACCATGACCACCAGTGAACATACCCTGAGCTGGCATCTGGCCAGGCACCGGCTGAGCATACGCAGCGCCCTGAACAGGTCTCGGCATAGGCCCCTGTGGCATTCCCCCTCCATAGCCTTGCTGCGGCATCTGCTGCTGCTGCTCAGTCCCATTATATGCCAGGTGCGACCCCCTAGTTTGCTGCGTATTCTGTCCAAACCCATATGTTCGATTAGGTTCCGGCATCGCAGCCACCGCAGCCACATTAGTTGTAGCCGTCTTCCCCACATCTTTCGGTGGGTTCAGCGCAAACCCCCAAGTCCCCTCCCTCAACTTCCCCTTGACGAATCCAACTTTCTTCGCCACACCCTTGGGCATCTTGCTCTCGTCGCATCCCCCAATCGCCCATTCACACGCCTTGACAACCGCATTCCACATCCCCTTCTCCGTGTCGCCGAGCACAGGATTGCCTTTCTCCTGTCTGACGCGCTCTAGCACGGCCATCATGAGGCCCTGAACGCGATTTGTGACTTTTTCGAGATCCTGGGATGACTGTGGGATGAGGATGTGGAAGGTCGCTGGGCTGGTGGGTCGGATTTGCGACTTAGTGAAGGCGATATTGACGGGCGCTGCGGTGTAGCAGTCTTGTGCGGAAGCAGAGGCGGGACCGACTGCTAGTCTGGCAAATGCAGGTACTCCCGCGCCATGGGCTAGAAGGGCGAAAGGGCTATCTGCTAGCTGAACAGCGTGGTGTATGGCTTCGTCTTTGCCGGCTGCACGACACTTGCTCTTCTCATAGCTTTCTTTGCTCACGCACATTCTTGCCCAGTGTTTCGCTTTACCTGCATCGAGGTGCTTCTGCACCATCTTGACTGCGTCACTGCCGTACCTGCCTTCACTCGCAGCGCGGAGCCGGAATGCAAAGGTGACGAGCTCATCTTGCGCTTTGTGGATGTGAGGCCGCGACAACGAGGTAGGAAGGAATGTGTTGATGTAGTAAGCGTAGTAGTACACATACGTACCGAGATACTCGAAGTTAAGCATCTGACTTGGTGCATCGAGGAAGACAACAGGAATGTCCAGTTTCTTCGCGAACTGTTCCAGGCGCTCGAGATCTGGCAGTTTGTTCGCTCGTCCAGATATCGAAGGTGCTATTCCGTCTGCGAGGCTGAGAGATCCCGTGATGGTAATTGCTGATAATGCCGATCGTAGAGGCGCTGTTGTCATGTTGATCCACTGGAGCAGGAAGTGCAGTACAGCGCCGTGATGCCAGACTATCTTCTTCAATCCGTCCATCTTCAGTACCTGCTCAACTGCCATGTTGACTCTCTTCACCGTCTTCTCGAGCGCCTCCTGCTGTCCAGATAGGACGCCGTTATCCCATCCCCTCACTATGACAATCTTGCTGAACACCGCCACGGTGCCTTCCAGATGCTTCTTGCCATCAGCTCCAGTCAGATACTCTACCAATTGGCAGATGCGACCGAAGTTGTTCCTACTTCGACTCTCTTCAGCAATGATCAGCATACTGCCATCACCTTCGTTCGCGCCCTTGTTCTTGCGCACGCCGAGGTCGCACAGCTTGGCGATGACCGAAGTGAGCTGGAGTAGGCTGTCGATATCGGAATCGGTCTCCCAGATGTGAAGGACACCTGGGGCGCAGACCTTTTCGAGAGTGCTCTTGGACGCGGCAGCGAAGGACGACTTGTACTGATCTGGCATCGACTGCACCGACTTCTTGAACGCTTCGAGATCGGTGGACCACGGACCATTGAAGGACGTCATCTTTCCGCGATGGTGATGCTTGCGCCGATGGTGAGAGTGCGACCGAGCTCTGTGACGATGGAAAGAGGTGGCGGGGCTGTTGGGAGGCTGTACAGAACGCCCAATGTTGCGCGGCGGCTGGTTTGGAGAGTGGCGATCGATGAAGCGGTTGAGGTAATTCATTGAAGACCTGCTGTTGTTATACTCGTCTTTATGTACATGGCGAAAGGTGACAGTTGGCGGTTTGTGCATGTTGCGCGGACGCGTCGTTGGCTGTTGGGGAATGTGAAGGAGTCAAACTCTATGTGAAGACGGACCTGCAAAGTAGACACGTGAGCGCGAAGATGGACGCTTCCAGCAATTGATTGTAGTGGAAAAAGAAGATGGCAGCGGAAATAGTGAAGTGAGCGTTTCCCGTCATTAACGGCGAAGTGACAGCAACTATAATGTTTGTTCAAGGCGTGGGTGAGGAGTGATGTGGAAAATAGATGACCGCAAGGACCAGGGGCGGCAACAATTCGTGTCGCATTGTACAAATATATCCAAGTAGAGGTATACATGTTATTGTATACTACCTACGCATAAAGATATAGTCATGTGTATTCAGCAAAACCTTAGAAATGCGGCAAGAATTGTTGCCGCCCAGGTGCAAGTATACATAACCTTACCACCAGGACCTCATTGGATCTAGAAAATCATAATGTAATCGCACAGATATCCAACTGTACCGTAACGCCGTCTCAAAAAGATAAAGGAAAAGGATGCGTGCGAGCTTTACTTGCCAACACCACCACCGTGCTCCAAGATAGTCTGCTTGTCAAGCTTCTCCACCTTCCTGCTCAGCAGTGCACGTAGCTCAGGACTGATGACCCTCGCCTCATCTTGCTCCTCTTCACCAACCTGCTTGCCCTTATCTGTGCCGGAAGTCGACGCTTGGTCTTTCGCTGGTGACGCACTTGACGACGTACTAGGTCCAGGGCCGGCGACGATCGCAGCAGCCAACTTGCGTTGCCGGGCTTGCGGAGCGGAGGGAAAGTTGCCTTTCTTGTCGATTGTCTCTACCGTTCGCTGGAACCTCTTGAAGAGCGATTCAGCGCGAACGAGCGTTGATTCGAGATCCATGGTACCAGAAAGCTCGTTGACTGGAGTAGCGTTAGTACCATTCAATGTCAACGTGGGCTGTTCTGATTGCATAGCTCACCATACTTGAGCACCTCGTCAAAGTGCTTCAGATGTGCCATGATCACATCTCGGTGCTTTTCCAGAATAGCCAGGGCAATGAAGATGTGGAAGTTGCTGCTCTGGTAGTCGGTCCAGAGCGACTCCCACAACCGCAGTACATCTGGCCACTCGAATTCGCGCTTGTACCAGACGAGCAGCATCCGGAAGAAAAAGAAGAAGTTCGTAGACTCAGCGGACTGAAGGTGGAGATACAGCTTGGGGTCCATGAGCTGTACGAGATGGTCGAGCGTCGTGAGCTGCTTGCGCATGCCGGACTGGTCGCGTAGGAAGTTGCGCTCCTGTATGCATGTCAGCCCCGTAAATGATTACAATAGCCATTGAAACTGTACGTACCATGCGCTCCATGAATCCAACAAAACCCCAGAATGCGACAGCATCATCCTGCATGACTGCGTAGATGGGCGCGAGCAGATCGCTCATGCCCTGAACGTAGCCAAGATCCTTGTTGTATTCGTTGTACGTAAGAAGCATGTCTTTCATCTGCTCCAAGTGAACGTTGGTGCCAGTTTCCGCAAAAGGCGAGTCCGGGTCAGGGTGGGGAATGTCCTCGCCGGCGAAAATGGGGATATTGCGATCTGTGCGATGTACGTCTTTCTCTACACAGCGGACCCCATAGAATGGGACAAGTCAGCCAGTTTTCAAGGAAGGACGTAACGCGCAAGGGTACATACCTATTCTGTTCTTTTGTTCTCTCCACCATTCTTCTTGCTCTTCATTCTGGTTCCCTTCAACCATTCGCTCCCACCAAGCGCCCTTGAGCCGAATGTACTCATCGCGCCTACTGTTAATGTTCGCACGACGCTCTTCGTCAGAGCTGTCCCAGTCGTAGACCCCGAGAAGGAATAGCCATGCTTCCTTTCGTACACCATCGTCAGGATCAAGACCTCCATGGAAAACGCGGTCTTTGACCTCGTCCGGTGTCAGTTGCAGTCGGCCCTTGGGGTCGAAGAATCCTTTCCATTCTTCCAACGTGACAGGTTTTCTTCGGTCGGCCATGGTCATCTTATCCATGTCAAGGATCTCGAAGTCGCCGACATCGCTCTCCTCCATAGCCAGAACGTCCTTTGCTGTCCATATCCGCTGGTTCCGTTCTCGCTCGCTTTGTTCTGCAATACCCATAGCCCATCTTGCGAGGTACAACCGTGCGCTGTCGAACTCTTCTTGTAATGTCTGGACCTCTGGGTTCTGAATCAGGCGTCTAACCTGAGGCGGGATCTTGGGGTTGTCGGCGACGGCTTGAGCAGTCCTTCGCGTGAAGGTGGTGACCTGGCTGAGCTTCTCGAGGAAGTTCCATCTCGCTTCCTTGAGCGCCTTTGTGACCGGATCCATCCCGCCGTCCCGTTTACCAGACTGCGAAGATGACGCGTCTGGTTTGCCTTCGGTGCTCTTCCTTGGT